ACACAGAATGCGGCTTTTCAAAGGCCAACCACTAGTCACGTGAATAGTGGATACCCTAGCTCCCCCCCTTGCCATGGCTAAGGGCAAATTGGTGGAGTTGCTCTTATACACAACTCTAAAAAATGTTTAAGCAAGACATGTAAATATAAACTCCCATAGAAGCAAAAGTAATCAACACTTTTTTGAAGTGAATCATGTTCTGTCTAACATGGTAATGGTGGGCCCCAACCACATACCTAGCTAGAAGGCTAGCAAGCTATCTTTATTGTATTTGGGTGGAGGAAGCTCCTATAGTTTTGGAATAATTCCAACATTTTGCAGTAGAAAACTTGGTTGGAATGGAATAAACAGTTGAGCATCTCCCATAAATCAAGTCAGCTAATCAAAAGTTAAAACAAATCTTTGAGCAAAACTATGAAGTCCATTTAATTTTCACATGACAAATTAAGTAGGAGTATGATCGTTCCCAATTAAAAGGAGAAGACTATACAGTCAATCATTCACGCATTTTATGATTAATTTTTAACAATTAATATATGTATTTCATCAACGATCAGAAATTGAACTTGTACAAAATCCTTATTGCTAGTCCCTACTAGAATGGTCTATGTCCCTATCTTAATTTTGCAAAGTTCTATGAAGCAAGCAAATGAGCGAACCAAAGCCATAATGCAACCTTGACTTTGTGTGTACGTTCCCTATCATCACGCCGACCATGTTACGGCTTTTGGGAGACTGACAGCACCAAAATTTCTGCCTTTGCATTTTTTCAGATTTTGTCCTCATCTTCCCCAAAATAGCAGGCCTTGGGTTTGCGAACTCAAACTTGGGTCCAAACCCCAATTCTGTTTTGCATTTTGGGTCACATGTAGGCCCCTCTTGCCACCCTTTTCGATTTGCCAACACCCTTCTACTGATTATCTGTCTATATTTTTGGACCCAGTTGTTGAGCTCTTTAACTTTTTAATTGTTCATGGACAACATGTTCACGAAACAATTGTCTTGATGCAGAAGAAAGTAATGAACATGAAATTTGCATGTGTGAATTAGCGATAGTTTAAACTACAAGGGGAAAGGGTTTCTCTCACACACACTACTAAGATATTATAATATTCGAATACGAGACCACTGGTGCAAATGAATGCCATTTTTCTAATGGACTAGACCATGTTAGCTTGCATGTGTGAATTTTGTGAATGAATTTTTTTTAACCAAAAAATAAAGATAAAGTTTTGAGTGTTTTTTTTTGGGTTGTCACAACACAGAAAGCAACTGTTCCAACCTCAGATGGAAAAGCCCAGTATGCTAGTAAGAGCCTGACGAACTAAGAAGTTAAGAAGATGATCAAGTTAGACCAAATAAGAACCAAAAATCCTGACACGTTGAGGAGCCCCAAAGCCCACACGAGAATTCACTGAAGCTCAACCTCTGACAAAGGATGTCACTGCTATGAAATGTGCGTTCAAACAGAGGTCTTAGATTATACCATGAAAGAAAAGGGCTCATGTGAGGAATTACTATATATTCATTCATGCTTTTGATCCGGGATGAAATGTATTGTCGACAAAGGAGAAAATACTTACCTATTATATTCCTGTTTCACAATCTCTCCTCTCTCTATTTCTTTCCTTACGTGATTAGTCACGAAAGTGAGATAAAAACGGAACAACAATGAAACTAGGATAGGCAAGTTCCTCCCCGATTATGTGTTCGAGTAAAAGAGCATCAGATTCTAGTCCAACAAATGAAAGAACAGGACACCAAATTCAACTGAAATAAAAACATTACCACCCACAGGCATCACATCTGTTATATGATGATGCCCCTGTGGTGATGGAAAGCTGAAATA